ACTCTGATAGCTCTCTTCCTTTGGGGTATGCACCACTAGCACCTTGACTTCCGCAGATTCTGGATGGGCTGTTCTGCTGAGATGGGTTTCCCCATGTGCAGTCCCAGGCCTCAGGTGGGAACTGCAAAGAGGGCAGGAAACAGGTTCACACTTACCTCCTTCTGTGGGCAGAGGTACGATCACCACCACAATGCTGTCAGACTCTGGATGGGCTTGTCTACCAGGAAGTGTTCTGAAGTGCCTAGTGCCCAGGATTTAGAAGGCTCCAATTAGGGTCCTAGAAACCAGCTTACTTCTTTTGTCCCTTTTTTATTTTTTATTTTATTTTCCAGTTTAAATTTAGATAAGAAACAAGGTTGCTTCACAAGTCAGTTCCAGGTCCCTCTCCCTTTCCCTCTCCTCCTCCCGTGCCCTCCCCCCAGCCCGCCCTTATCCCCTCATTCCCCCAGGGAGGGTGAGGCCCTCCATAGGGGTGTCCATGTTCTGTCATTTCATATAGGGCAGGGCCTAGACCCTTCCCCAAGAGTTCAGGGTGAGAGTGCAACTCACATTGTTCTGTGGGAGTCCAAAGTCCCTGTATATACTTGGGATGGGTACTGATCTGCTGCCCAAGGCTCAATAGATTACCTAGGCCTCCTCACTGACACCCAGATTCAGGGGGTCTTGATCAGTCCCATGCTGGATTCCCAGGCTGATGCCTAGGATTCAAGAATTAACCTTTGTCTGGTCAGCTGTTTCTGGGGTTAAACCAGCCCAGTCTTAATCACTTTGATCATCAGTCCTCCCTCTCTGTTACTGGCTTTGTTGAGTTCAGCTCAGTACTTAACCGAGGGAGTCTGCCTCTTCTTCCATCAGCCACTAAATGAAGTTTCTGTTTCCCAGACTCTCTGGCCATAGGATTGTAGGATGGCACTCCCCAGATCTATGTCTAAAATCCATATATGAGTGAGTACATACCATGTTTGTCCTTTTGTGACTGGGTTACCTCACTCAGGATGGTTTCTTCCAGTGCCATCCTTTTGCCTGAAAATTTCAGGATTCCATTGTTTTTTTCTGCTGAGTAATACTCCATTGTGTAAATGTACCACATTTTCTCTATCCACTCTTCAGTTGAGGGGCATCTAGGTTGCTTCCAGGTTCTGGCTATTACAAATAATGCTGCTATGAACATATTGGAGCAGATGCCCTTGTTGTATGAATTTGCCTCAGTTGGATATATGCCTAAGAGTGGAATTGCTGGGTCTTGTGGTAGATTAATTCCCATTTTTCTGATGAATCTCCATACTGATTTCCAAAGAGGCTGCACGAGCCTCCACCAGCAGTGGAGGATTGTTCCCCTCTCTCCACATCCTCTCCAGCATAAATTGTCTTTGGTGTTTTTGATTTTAGCCATTCTGTCAGGAGTGAGATGGTATCTCAGAGTTGTTTTGATTTGCATTTCCCTGATGGCTAAGGATGTTGAGCACTTTCTCAAGTGCCTCTCAGCCATTTTAGACTCCTCTATTGAAAACTCTCTATGTAGTTCTGTACTCCACCTTTTAATTGGATCCTTTGGTGTTTTGGAGACTTGTTTCTTGAGTTCTTTGTAAATTTTGGAGATTAGCCCTCTGTCAGATGTAGGGTTAGTGAATATCTTTTCCCATTCTGTGGCCTGCCTTTTTGCCTTTTTGACTGTGTCCTTTGCCTTACAGAAGCTTTTTAGTTTCAGGAGGTCCCATTTGTTAATTGTCGATCTCAGTGTTTGTGCCACTGGTGTTATGTTTAGGAAGTGGTCTCCTGTACCAATTCGTTGAAGAGTATCTCTCACTTTCTCTTCTAAAAGTTTCAGTGTGGCTGGATTTATGTTGAGATCTTTGATCCATTTGGACTTAAGTTTTGTACGAGGCGATAAACATGGATCTATCTGCAGTCTTCTGCATACCAGTAACCAGTTATGCCAGCACCATTTGTTGAAGATGCTTTCTTTTTTCCACTGTATAGTTTTAGCTTCTTTGTCAAAACTCAAGTGTTAATAGGTGTGTGGGTTAACATCAGGGTTTTCAATTCGGTTCCATTGGTCTACCTGCCTATTTTTGTGCCAATACCAAGCTATACCAAGCTGTTTTCAGGACTATAGCTCTATAATAGAGCTTGAAGTGAGGTATGGTGATGCCTCCTAAAGTTCCTTTATTGTATAGGGTTGTATGGAGAGAGTGGACAGCCTTGTCTTGTTCCTGATTTTAGAGGAATTGCTTTGAGTTTCTCTCCATTTAGTTTGATGTTAGCTGTTGGTTTACTGTATATTGCTTTTATTATATTCAGGTATGTTCCTGTTATCCCTGATCTCTCTAGGACCTTTATCATGAAGGGGTGCTGGATTTTGTCAAAGGCTTTTTCATCATCTAGTGAGATGATCATGTGATTTTTCTTTCGCTGTTCGTTTATATGGTGGATTACATTGATAGATTTTCTAATGTTGAACCATCCCTGCATTCCTGGGACTAAGCCTACTTGATCATGGTGGATGATTTTTCTGATGTGTTCTTGAATCTGGTTTGCAAGTATTTTATTGAGTATTTTTGCATCAATGTTCATGAGGGAAATTGGTCTATAGTTCTCTTTCTTAGTTGTGTCTTTGTGTGGCTTGGGTATCAAGGTAATTGTAGCCTCAAAAGAGTTTGGCAGTGTGCCTCCTGCTTCTATTGTGTGGAATACTTTAAGGAGTATTGGAATTAGCTCTTCTTTGAATTTCTGGTAGAATTCTGCACTGAAGCCCTCTGTGCCTGGGCTTTTTTTTGTTTGGGAGACTTTTGATGATGGCTTCTATTTCATTAGGGGTTATAGGTCTGTTTAGATTGTTTATCTGCTCTTGATTTAGTTTTGGCAAGTGATATCTATCCAGGAAATTGTCCATTTCCTTTAAATTTTCAAATTTTCTGGAGTACAGATTATCAAAGTGTGCCCTGATGATTCTCTGGATTTCCTCAGATTCCTTTGTTATGTCCCCTTTTTCATTCCTGATTTTGTTAATTAGCATTCTCTTTCTGTGTCTTTTGGTTAGTTTGGACAGAGGTTTGTCTATTTTGTTGATTTTCTCAAAGAACCAACTCTTTTTTTAATTGATTGAGTAAATCTTAAGGCTTTTGCCTGAGGGAATATCCTCAGTTGGAGGATGGATTGAAAATGGGTGAATCAAAAAAATTGGTAACAGTAAATGAGGTACTCGTATTAAGCAAAGAAAAAGGAAAAGACAAAGGTATATGGAATTGAAAAAGTCTGTTTGCATTTAAGGTCAATTTTGGGAATCATGTCTAAAAACTCCTGGCCAAAAGTCTGGCCTCTCCTACTTGCATCTACTGAATTACAAGGTTATGTACAGCTGTAGCCCCTGACTGTAGCTCAATTGGAGGAATGATGAGGGGGCATAAAGGACTTTTTTAACCTTTTTAGTAAAAGATTTGATGGAGTTGTCCTGTTACATAGAGTTCAATTAAGGAAGTTTCATTTCAACAGACTAATCATGACCTAGGGAAAAAACATTACCGAAAGATGTATGTATGTTCTGAATGCATGGTGTGGCAACACTGGTATATATGAAATGTGACAGTGAATGCCTGAGTGTGAACTGCTTATATGATTAAGATTAAAAGGATACTTAAATCTCTTCAAAAATAGTTAAAAAGCTACCTGAATTGCTTTAGATATAGCCAAAAGCAACATGCAACTGGTCGGTTTCTGTCTTAACAGAAAAATTAAAAGATTTAAATCTTCAGAGCCAGTCGATTTTTTCAGGCAACTGCTCCTTTGTCAGGCTCTACCACCAAAGGTGTCTGTATAGATGCAAATGAGTCCTTGTCAGCTAGTGAGAGCTCTACCGGTTAGATTGGGAAAGATTGCTCACAGACTTCAAATAATTTTCAAAAGCTATTTGGGACACAGGATAGTTTACAATCTTTGAATGATTTTCAGAAGTTTTTGGGAAATACTTAATGGGTATGTCCTTTTTAAAGGGCATCTACTAATAATCTACATAGCAATCCCAATTCCCACAGATAATTAATTAAGGAGGTTAGACAAATCCTTCTAATGTTATAGTCCAGCATCAATAGATGTTTGCAAACAGTTTAAACATACTTTAAAAAAATTAAAAAGGGGGAGTAACGTCCCCAGCCCCCACATGGCTCATCAAATAATAAACTCCTCATTTAAAATTTTTAAAATGTGAATGCCAGTGAGCAATCTGCTTCAGACAGATTCTGGCATGATGGAACTTGAGCGACTTTTGCTCAGGTCAAATGGAGACATCCATGCATTGGAATGACCCTAATTTCGGGTCAAGGGCATTTTGTGTTTGGTTGCAGGAAAAGAATAAAAGTTTGGCAGCTGTCAGAACATTTGGTGTGATGCATGGAGCAGAAAAAAAACTGGACCTGAGACCGTGGGAGCCTACCTAAGCCAGTTTGAGTGAGATCTCCTAAATCAGTGTTCCTTACCCTTGATGTCATCGAATCTATAGCCTGGGAAAGAAAGAAAACAGTTGGTTGGAGATTTCCAGTTTCTCAACAGGCCTGCTGCATCAAACTCCCAGACCTGTGAGTTTTCATCCTGAAGCCAACAGAGGACTGGAAGAATAACAGTCTGCCTTTGACACACCTTGAAACATCAGAATTCCTTTTGCCAGTTTTTCCATTTGGGGAGAAAAGGACCTATTTAATACAATTGGACACTTTTATGGACCGAGGTGAGTAGCAAAAGCCCCTTTTCAGTATTTGAACAGGACACGGCCACTTGAAATATCATCTTTGGTGTTTCCTGTTTCTGGAATCACACCTATGTCTGTGTCTGGAGAAATGCAAATTGACCTCATGCTGCAAAAATGAGACTTTGACATCAAGGCTGCTGTTGTGGCAGCCATCACCATATCAGCCACTGTGGCTGCAAAAGCCAGAATTGCCGTTGCCCAAATGAATGAAACTAGAAATATAATACTCACTGAGGTAAAGCATACCCAGAAAGAGAAATACGGCAGGAATGGTGCTTTATTTATCAAACAATAAGGCAAAATATACACATATATTCATCTTAAATACATTTCTGTACATCTAGAAAACCTAACTTCATGTTCTGAGTATTAGACGTGACTATATACAATCTGTATTTAATTATGTGTTACATGTTAAATATCAGTATAAACCCAATACTTAAAGAAGAGTAGAAATATACATATCACAAAATTGATCTTAAATTTGTGTCAATAAATGAAAATACATACCAATAAAAAGTGTTTATTTCTATGTCATAGTCTCTTTTACCTTGAAAAAGACATTGGTTTTAACCATTAACCACTGATAACCAACTCCATTAAAATGAAATAAAAAATTTATGAAAAATATTTGGGAACTTGGATATTGTTCATTCCAAACTGCTTCCTGCTGCTTGGGGGCCCTGTCCATGCACTGGGCAACATGACAAAACACACATACTTAGGTCTTTGGTTTTGTAGTGTGTATGGCTCCATCTTCTCAGCTGTTTTACATGTTGGATCACTTGTGACACTGTTTCAGGGTGTCTTGCTTCATCAAACCATACTGTCTGGAAGGAACCCACAGTTTTTTATTTTCTGTGGAAACAAATCGGAAATTATTTTCCCAAGTGACCTGTCCTTATATTTGAATTTAGAAGTCAAAGGACTTTCAAAACACTTAATTTGGACTAATTCAGCAGCATGCATTATCAAATGACTTTTAGTAGTTATTCCTTCCAGAGCAATTAAACAATTCAAAGACAACAAAATAGCATATAATATGCAGACTCTCTAGTTCTTTATTTATTTTACTTTTATTTATTTATTTTTCCCTGAAACTGGGTTTCTCTGTGGAAATCTGCATGCCTCTGCCTCTGGAGTGACAGGATAACAGGCATGTGCCAACAGTGCCCAGCTTCTAGTGAATTGTTAGCAGGTCTTCTTAAAAGAGCCCTGCAGTTTTTTGGTCACATATGCCAAGTCAGTCCTTAAAGGAACTGCATGAATTTCTGCTTGTTTCAAGCCAAATAAAGCCCATCTGAGAAAATGGTGCTACCAGGAAGCTGTGCTTTTCTCTGTTTTTTTATTCCCTTTCTAAGCTTCTTTCAATTTTATGTGGAAATTCATGCAACCAATGTTGGGTGCCATTTTGTTACAGGATTCCTTTTAGCATTTCGGTTGGATCAGGATGTGTGAGTGTTACACAGCTCAGGTGAAAAGGCATCCTGGGGCTTGGGAGCCACAGAATACTGAGTGTTACACAGCTCAGGTGGAACCATCTCAAAATTGGGGATCCCTCTTTTTAGGCTGGGTCTCTTCCTGCACCTCAGTACTGTTGTGAAATTCTGCCTGCTTGCTCTTTCTTTCTTTAACATACCCAGCACATGACTTTTCCCCTCCACCTTTGCCAACTGCTTCCTTAGGTTCCATCTAGTGCTATATCTCCCTACATGGTACCTCCCTGAAATTATACCTGCTTGCTTCACACTGAACCAACCTGTTCTCCTTCAACAAATTTGGCCTCATCCCTCCTAAAAATGTGTTTTTCTAATATCCTCCACCTTCTGTTTCAGCTTACTCAGATGTCAGTCTGCAATGCGCCTCTGTGTCACCTCTCTGTTATAGGATGGTGGGAGTGTGACTGCATGGTGTGACAAACACTCAATCAGGCAGATCTTACATGGGAAGGAAGTCTTTTTTACATATTTTTAATTTATTTTAATTAGAAACGAACTTGTTTCACAGGTCAATCTCAGCTCTCTCTTCCTCTCTTCCTCCCTTGATGGACACCAACTCCCCAACACCCCCCACCCAATCAACACTCAGCTCCCCAGTGCAGGTGAGGCCCTCCATGGGAGATCTCTAAAGTCTGTCATATCATATCATCTGAGCAGGTCCTAGGCCCTCCCTCATGTGTCCAGTCTGATGGAGCATCCCTCCATGTGGAATGGGCTCCCAAAGTCCATTAGAATGCCAGGGATAAATACTGATCTACTACTCAATGCACCATAGATTGCCATGGCCTCCTCACTGACACACAAATTTAGGGGGTCTAGATATGTCCCATGCTGGCCTCTCAGCCATCACTCTAGTGTCCATGAGCTCCCCCTTGTTCAGGTCAGCAATTTCTGTGGGCTTCTACAGCCTGGTCTTGACCCCTTTGCTCATCACTCCTCCTTCTCTGCAACTGTGTTCCTGGAGTTCAGTTCAATGTTCAGGTTTGAGTGTCTGCCTCTGCTTCCATCATCACTTAAGGAAGACTCTAAGATGGCATATAAGGTAGTCGTCAATCTCATTATTGGGCAAGGGCTTTTAAGTTAGCCTCTCCACTATTGCTTAGACTATGAGCAGATATCATCCTTGTGGATCTCTGAAAATCTCACTGGTGCCAGATCTCTCCTCAAACCGATAATGGCTCCCTCTATTATGGTATCTCTCATCTTGTTCACTATTCTTCCCTCAAGTCAAACTTCTTGCTCCCCCATGTCCTCCTCTCCCCTCCTCTTCTTCCTCTCTCTCTGCTCCATCTCCTCTCCCCACTTGCTCCCAACCACTCAGGAGTTTCTGTCTCATTCCCTTCTCCAGGGTACCATGCATATCTCTCTGGGGGTCCTCCCTGTTTCCCAGATTCTCTGTAGGTAGGATTGTAGGCAGTCACTCCCCTGTCCCACGTCTAAAATCCATATATGAGTGAGTACATACCATGTGTGCCTTTTAGTGACCGGGCTACCTCACTCAGGATGGTTACTTCTAGTGCCATCCATTTGCCTGCATATGTCAAGCTTCCATTTATTTTCCCCTGAGTAGTACTCCATTGTGTAAATGTACCACATTTTCTCTGTCTACTCTGCAGTTGAGGGGCTTCTGGGTTGTTTCCAAGTTCTGGCTATTACAAATAATGCTGCTATGAACATAATGAAACATATGTCCTTATAGTATGAATGGACATGTTTTGGGTTTAAGCCTAAGCGTGGATGTTGTTGGATCTTATGGTAGACTGATTCCAGATTTTCCAATTTCCAAAGTGACTGTAGGAGTTGGCACTCCTACCAGCAGTGGAGGAATGTTCTCCTTTCTCCACATCCTCTCCAGCATACACTATCATTGGTGTTTTTTATTTTAGCCATTCTAAGAGGTTCAGTGTGGCTGTATTTATGTTGAGGTTTTTGATTCATTTGAAATTAAGTTTTGTGCATGGTGATAGACATGGATCTCTCTGTAATGCAGTCTTCTACATGCCAGCATCCAGTTAGGCCAGCACCATTTGTTGAACGTTTCTATTTTTCCATTGTATAACTTTGGCTTCTTTGTCAAAAATCAGGTGTTTGTAGGTGTGTGGGTCCATATCAGGGTTTTCAATTAGATTCCATTGGTCTACCTGTCTTTTTTTGTGCCAATAGCAAGCTGTTTTCAGGATTATTGCTCTAGAATAGATCTTGAAGCAGGGATAGTGATGCCTCCAGATGTTCTTTTCTTAACTTAAATTTTCCCATCTCCCTTTAGTCTAGACTTTTATCTTTCTTCTACATATGTGTATCTTACTTTTGCTCTCACTCTGTGGCATGTAGAGTGTGGGTGGGTGGCTGGCCCCTTGTTTCCACCTCTCCTTGTTCTGTTGTTCCTACCTTCTTCCAGATTTCTTCTGCTGTTTATATTCTCTCCCTACAACCCAACCTGTTTCTCTCTCCTGGCCTCACTATTGGCTGTTCAGCTCAATATTAGACCTCCAGGTGTTTTAGGTAGGCAAAATCACAGCTATTCAGAGTTAAACAAATGCAACATGAACAAAAGCAATACACCCTAAAATAATATTCTATAGCAGCCCTGGATAGATTAAAACCCTCCTGAACAATGAAAGAACCACTGTATGTCTCACCATTCCTGACTCAAGTTGTACTTCAACGACACAATATAAGTAATAAAAGATCATGGTATTGCCATGAAGCAGATGGAAGACTCTCATCTGCCTACTGGGGCAATGCTAGTGTAAGAGGCCTGTTCTGCCACCAGGATCCATGGTGACATCTGTTTTCTGACTGCTGCTGAGGGCTGTGTCTGGTTCCATGACCCTATTGCAGCCATGGTCTTTGCTCAAACATAATTTTTTTGACAGCTGAGCAACACTAAATAATCTGACAGGTAATCTTTGCTTTTTTCATCAACCCAGTCAGGCATACTCTCAAACAGTATTTCTGTTTGACATTGGCTCCTAGTGAGAAAGTTCGTCCAAGTTCCTACATTACCACATTTCCCCTGGAATATGCACAACCCTTGGTAAGCACATAGCTTTGCATTTTTGGTGTTATAAAAACCCTAATTCTCCTATGTTCCTGGCTGTTCTGTCAAACCACAGATTAGGGAGAAAACCGATTGTGGTATAAAGTAAAACTTACATAATTTGACTCAAAATATTTGTGTTGCTGGTCTTTACTCTCCTGATATCTGAAGAGTACTATCTGTTTTGTCTCTTTTCCTTAAGTTTTGATATATATCCTCATTCCTGCTCTGTCTCTGCCTATGTCATATTCCTGGATTAGGCTGTAGAAGTCTTCCATCATCTTTAATCATTGGAAAATTTGAGGCCATCAGCAGCCATAAAGGACTTCCTACCCAATTGTCATAAACTTTATAAACTCCATAGTGGATGAATATTCCAATATCTTCTTGGATATATTGATCATTCAACCCTGCTAATATTTTTATTTCCTAATTATCCTGGTGGCATAAGGACATCAGAAAACCTATATTGGTCTGAGAGAAGCCTGAGCTTCCTGTTCAATGGAATTTTTTGTGGCTCCAGTCATAAGTATTACATCCATACCATCATCAACCTGGAATCAAAATGTCCTAGCCAGCAGAACTTCAGGACATGGGAACAGGAAGCAATTTTTCCCCAGGGGAACACTAGTGGCAATAGTCAGTGGAACTATTCCCTTTTCTATAACCTAGTACCTGGAACCATGAATCTTGGCTATGGAGAAACCAAATCCTACATTTGAATGTGATTCAAAGTATATACTGCCTCCTGGAGAATCCTGCTCCAGCATTCTAGGCTGATGCTACCTCATTGACTCTGTAACTGTGTCTTCAAAAGGCCATTCCATCTTTCTGTCATGGCAGCTGACTTAGGAAGTTGCTGAACCTTGTAAGACCAGTGGATTCCATGACTGTTGGCCACTGTTGTACCTCTTGGGATGTGAATTTAGTTCCTTGGTCAGAAGACATACTAAGTGGAAAATATGATGGTTGTCAAGGTAGTTTTGGTAAAATCATTATGAGCAGAAAAGGTAATCTATTGCCAGAATAAGTACCTACTCCAGTAAGATCAAGCTATTTTCCCTTCCACAGAGGAAGTTATCTAATATAGCCTTCCTATCACCAATATTTTGGCTGATCAGCCAGGCAAAATGGTGACATATCTGTGTGTCTGTTTTGGTCTCTGCTGTTGACAGATCTGACATTAAGGAGCCCATGTAGCCAGGTGAGATTTGATGCTTAACTTGAAGAATGCTTAACTTTGAGGAATGAAGATACACAACTTTAATCTGGATCTATAGGATCGGAAATACAGTTCTAACTGGGACACTTCATTTTATTGATCATTGCATATTATTCATTAATTACATATTCTCCTTGATTATCATGTCTCTGTGAAACTCTTGTTTTATATTTGCTGTTTTTGTTTTTTCAAGACTGAGTTTCTCTGTGTAGCTTTGGAGCCTATCCTGTCACTTGCTCTGTAGACCAGGCTGACCATGAACTCACAGATATCGGCTTGACTCTGCCTCCCAAGTGCTGGGATTAAAGATGTGTGCCACCAACGCCTGACTGAAATTCTTCTTTTAAAGTTATGCAAAACCAAAGTTTTGTTGTTTTCTTTCATTTAATTCAAATGCATAATACTACCTGGAAACAGTCTCCCAGACCCATCTATGAGTGTGGCTAATGAATATCCTAAATCCTTTTCATGTCAATCACTTAGATTGATTCTCAGTAGATCATATTCTCCCTCCTCCTCTGGTGTTGTCAATCTCAGAAATGCCATGCTTATTCTGCTGGTCCCTAAAAGTGAGAGATTGTTTTCATTTCCATGAAATTCAGACTATATACAGCAGAACCTAGTTCCGGGGGTAGGGGGAGTGTTTGGGTTGGATCTCCCTTTATAGTGTGATGAGAATGTTCTTCCTATACCTCATCTCTCTGGAGTTAATCTTGTCTAGGAGAGTCTCTCCAGGCATAGACCACATGGAAATAATTTTATTGATTCAATCAGCACAGCCATGCCCTCTCTGTATTTCCTGTATGTCTGACTGAGACACTGCTTATCTGTTAGTAGAAGATAAATCAATCAACTGGTTTTGATTATTTGATTTTTTTCATTTCTTTTCTTTGTTGGACTTATTTTAGGTGGCCACTTAATAGCATAGGTGATTCATTAGCAGGTAGGTTCAGGGTCAGGGTGGTAGGTACCCTATCCCAGAAATCACTCATTTGAAGGGATTATATTTGTTAATTTCAAGACCCCAGATTGGAAGAAAGATGCTCTTCAGTAACTGTTGAATATATACTGCACAATTTCAAAGTCAGATCGCTCTTACAATTTTAAGCCCAGCTGAGTGAGCCTCGATGTTCAAGGATTAAAGAGGACAGAACTCACCAGTGAAGGATGAAAAGTATGAGGTAATGAGAAGCTGAATCTTGGCAGTCAGCATGAGAATTGAGACGTCTTTAGGATCTGCTCATAGCACAACCTGAAGTGGATCAGGAAGTATTCAAGGAGGATTAACTGAGGAGGAGAGGCAGGACCATGAGGAAAATTTGGTGGAGTCATCCCCAGGACTGTGAGTATGGATGGAATAAATGGCAGTAAAGAAGGCAGCCATTTTCAGAGGGTCCTGCCTTGTTCTGTTTAATGCCCTCTATAAAGTGATTCCTCCACCCTGACCTCCACATTGTGAATACTGAGTCCGCTGAAAGAAGAATAGCACCACTTCCTGGTTCATGTTCATGGGAAGGATGCTTTTTTTTCAGAGACAGAGTTTTTCTGTGTAACAGCTCTGGCTGTCCTGGAACTAACTCTGTATATAATACTGGCCTTGAACTCAAAGAGATCTTCCTGCCTCTGCCTCCCAAGTGTTGGGATTAAAGGTGTGTGCCAGCGAGGAAACAACAGCTGTGTAGGAATAAAGACAATATCTTTATTTATGGAAGGCTAACTCAAGTAAGCAATATGCACTTGTGGTGGTTATTTTTGGTTCCTAACTAGATCACACCTGGAATTAACTAAAATCCAAATACGGAGGGCTCAACTGTAAGAAATGTTTTTCATAAGTTGGAGTAGGTAGATCCACTTGAAATACTGACTTTGGAGATGGGAAGCACAAACATTTGATCCAGATCACAAGACCTGATAACACCCACCTTTAATCCTGATCTGAGGCTTGGTGACAGGGATCCAGGTTCCAAGGTGCATGATGGCAGATGAGCTAGGAGAGCTGTGGGAGAATTCCCTCTTCACAGACTGCTGCCAGGTAGTTGCTTTCCAGGAATTCCAGGATCATAAGCCATCTTAGCAGCTCACTCTCCAGTTTTCAGAGCCATGTTTGAGCATGACATGGAGGATAGCAGAAAAATCCATGTTCAGATCCATGATCTGGAGCTGCAAGTCTTCTAGGCAATGATGGGTTTCATTTACACTGGGAAGGCACCAGATCTCCACAGCATGGCAGACACTTTGCTGGCAGCTGCTGACAAGTATGGCCTGGAGCATTTGAAGACTTTGTGTGAGGATTCCCTCTGTGAGGATCTCTCCATGGAGAATGCTGCCTACACTTTCACCTTGGATAACCTCCACCATGCACGGATGTTGAAAACTCAGGCACTGGATTTCATTACATCTACATGCTTCTGAGGTCTCTCATATCTCTAGCTGGAGGAGAATGGTGGCCTCATATCCCCACTTTGTGTCTGAAGCATACAGTTCCCTGGCTTCTGTTCACCCATCTTTACTGGAGTCCCCTCCCAAACACCTCAAGCAATCTTATGATCATCTCAGTTGTCTCCTCGAAGTGTCTTCTAAGATTGGCAGCCAGTGTTGTTATCAAGGACACCTGAGTAGACTGTGAGCTCTGTGGAGACAGTGAATCTGGGAAGCTCAGTCATCAACAGAGCATTAAATGAGTTGGAATTATTTTTATTTATGTTAGAAACAATCATGTTTCACATGTCAATCCCATCTCCCTCCTCCCCAAACCTTCTCAACAGATCCCCCATTCCCCCACCCAATCTCTACTCTGAGCCCCACGGAGGTTGAGGTCCTCAATGTTGGATCTCCAGTAACTGTCATTTCATCCAGGGCAGGGCCTAGACCTTACCCCAAGAGTCCTGGATGACAGAGCCTCCCATATTGTGGCATGAGCACTCAAAGCCCATTTGTATGCCAGGGATAAATACTACCCAGAGCCCCATAGATTACCCAGGACTCCTCACTGACACCCACATTCAGGGGGTCTGGGTCAGTCCCATGCTTTCCACACAGCCATCATTCTGGAGGCCAAGAACTCCCCCTTGTTCATGACAACTGTTCTGTTGGTTTAAACCAGGCCAGTCTTAACTCCTTTGCTCATCAGTTTTCTCTCTGACACTGGATTCCAGGAGTTCAGTTCAGTGTTTGTCTGTGGGTATCTGCCTCCACTTTCATCAGTCACTGGATGAAGGTTCTGTTCCCTAGACTCTCTGGCAGTGGAATTGTAGGCTGGCACTCTCCTGATTCATGTCTTAAATCCATAAATGAGTGAGTACATACCAAGTTGTTGGGTCCACCACACGGGGAACCAGAATTTATCCCTACTGCATGAACTGGCTCTTGGGTGCCCATTCCCTGTGTAGACATACTTTGCTCACCCTACATACATAGGGGAGTGTCTTTGGCCTGCCTCCAGTGATGGCACAGATTTTGTTGATTCCCCATGTGGGAACTCCCCTTTCTGAGGAGTGCATTGGGGGTGGGGTGGGTAGAAGTGTGTGCATTGCTGTGGGATTGAGAGTAAATCGGGATCGGTATGTAAAATAACTTTATTTTAAACTTCTACAAATGATAAAATGAACACAGTTTGGAGAGAAAAACCAAACAAACAAAATATAAGGTATTGACAGACAGAATCTACTCAGTCCCCATGATTGAATGAGTAGAATTTAGGATCTCCAAGTAGCACAAGAAGCAAACTACACTTCTCATGGTTACTCTTGTTTCCTGATCTGACTTTATCTGGAATAAACTAACATGCAAACATGGAGAGTAATGCTTCAGTTGTGGTAGGAAGATCCAATTCCAACTGGAACCTTGGAGTTACAGGGACACATAGATCTAATCCTGATCTGGAGGCCAGAAGACAAACACACCCTTAATCCAGACCTTGATCTGTAAATAGACCACACCCTCTGGTGGGAGACTATAAAGGGGCATGGAGAGAGGAAGGTCTTTCTCTTTGCCAGCTGGCCCTTGCCTTGCAGCAAGTCCCTTCCTTCACTGGCATTAGCGACTACTTCTCCTGACTTCCAGAATATACTGAAGACCAGCGGACAGGTCCCACTTTCTGGACTGAGTAAGTACTGAGTTCTTGGACTTTCCCTTCACAGCTAGATACTATGAGGCTAGGAGGCCTCCAGCCCTAAATCATTTTAGGTATCCCCTTTCTTCATATGGCCAGAGTTTCTTTCTATCTGTTCTGCTGCTCTAGGGACACCTGGTTCAACATTTTTTTATACGAGGGCATAAAGTGTTTCAAACCATCCAAGAGTTGAGTATAATTGTCAAAAGTATGTTACCTGTTGATGTAAGATTCAATCTAGAAAAGGAAACAGGGTGGTGCTGAGAGTACAGCTGTCCCTAGAAGCTCAATCTGTCTTCTCTGAATCTAACATTGAAATCTGGTTAGAAAATTTCAGAGAGACCAAAGGCTCCAGCCCCATAGATGTTGGGGACAGAGAGGAAAGCAGAAAACAAAAGTCTAAAAATGTGTCTGTGGTGATACATAGTTTACCATTTCTCAAGTCACTGGTGATTAAAATAGCAAAGCAACCATAGTGCTTAGCCAGTGAAGTCAGGCAGACACGTTTCCTCCGAGGACTCATGGGACAGAGGCAGGTGGATATCTGTGTGTTCAAGTCTACTCAGGGCCACACTAGATTGAACCAGCCTAAAAGAGTAACAGAGCTCATGCCCCTGATCCCAGCACTAGAGTGGTATAAACGATAGGAGCATTGTCTTCAGTAGTCAGGCTCAGGATGATCCCCAGTTAGGCTGAGGAGAGACAGCAGTGTGATACTTGGGGAAAGCTCGTGGAGCCTGAGGTAGAGGCAAGAGCTAGTGGCTTGGCTGTTTTGCTTGCCTGATCTTCAGGTTGAAGCCTGAGCCCCAATATCAGTGTCTGTTCTTTTATTTTTTTTGTGTTATAGATATCTGTAATTTGTGTCCCCCAGGTTGAAGAAGAAAAAAAAACCACCTTACCTCTTTACTTTGGAGCCAGGTTAGCCATCAAAATGCCCCAAGCAGATATGTCAGGGGACCTGGCAGCTGAGAGCTGGGGCATCACAGAGGTCAATTTCCAGAAATTCACCTACAGTTGGACTATCAGCAACTTCTGTTCTATCCTGCAGGAAGTGAGGGAAGCCATTGAAAGCCCAGCCTTCTCCTCAGGAGCCAGTGACAAAGACAGATGGTGTTTGAAATTACACCCGGACGGGGCCGATGAAG